AAAGTCTATGCAAATATTTCAATATTCAAAAGCTCCAAAATCTGAAACTGTTCTGGTCCCAAGCCTCTTGGATAAGGGATACTCAACTTACAAAAGGCTGCCATGAAAAGGGAAAGGGAAAGAATTAAATCAGAATACATAGAATGCAGAGGAAGTCTAACACTGAGGAACAAGAATACCATTACTGTCTAGGCTGAAAAGAGTTAAAGCCTGTGACCACTCCCTACTGCTGACACACGCAAACCCAGATTCCTTGTCTTTCCAAAACCTGCACCCACACAGGTGGGGCCCCAGCTGCAACACTGCAATGCACCTGAGACTCAGCACACATGCACCTTGTCTAAAAGGTCCCCTGAATTCCCTCCTACCCCAACACATGCAAACATATTGGCTGAGGGGGTGAACCCCTGAGATCTCTCCTGTGGGAATGTAAAGTGGTATAAAGACATCTGGCAGTTTCTCAAAAGTTAAATATAGAGCAAGCTACCTAGCAATTCCACCACTGGGTATCTACTCCCCCTTCCCAAATGAAATCATAGGTCCATACAAAGATTTGTACACAGACTTCCTAGCAGCATCATTAATAATAGCATAAAGTAGAAACAATCTGCATGCCTATTATCTAGACAAAATATGGCATATCCATACACTATTATGTAATGTAAAGGAGCTAACTACTGACTCATGGTATCTCAAAAACCTTTTTTAGAAGTGAAACAAGGCAGATGCAAAATGCTAGGCATTGAATAATTCCATTACCTGAAATGTCCAGAAAAGGCAAATCTGGACAAGTAATGCTTCCCTGGGCCTGGGGTGAAAATCAGGAGCTGACTACAAATGGGCACACAGGATCTTTCTCGAGTGACAGAAATATTCTAAAAATGGATAATAGTGTGGTTATGCGACTCTGCAAACAATTTTTAAAAAAAAAATCATTAAATTGTACACAGCACAAATGAATTTTTTTGGTATGTAAATCATACCACAATGAGGCTTTAAAAAAAAAAAAAAAGATCTCACCAGATACACAGACATTAAGAGGGTTACTGGGTGTCTATACCACTAAGTCCTGAGAGACTGCGAGGTGGCATGGCATAGGCAGGTGGCATCCCTGGCTGTAACACTCATCTGTTACTAGGGTCTACATCATGGGGTCAGCTGAAACTTTCCACCCTGAAACACTGATTGGCTTCTACTTGGCTCCCTGCATCCCTCTCATATCTAAGTATCAAATGGTCAAGAGCTGAGGTGCCCACACCTTGGGCTTAAGTGTGGGTCCTTCATGGAGCATCAGATTTTTCTTCCATAGCAAACCCCTCTCCTGGTCTAGCCCAAATGAGCCCAGGTTGGAGGTGGCAGATGCTCTGAGAACAAAGTTTCAGAAATGATCAAATGAACAAATTATGAGTCTACTTCTTAATTTTCACAACCTAGAGACTCCAGGCATTTTGAGAAAGAAGAAAAAGGAAGGAGAATGGTCTTAGTATTTGTAATTTATGGAATTTACAGAAAAGACAGGAAAATCTGCTAAGCAAGTTGCTAATATGCATAAAGAAAGCATTAGACTTACTTAAGAAGTACCCATGGGAACCTACAGAGGTTCAAGGACGGATGTTCTAAATGTCATTCATTCTCACTGAGCCATTAGAAGAAACCAGTGAGATGTCAAATTGCAAACCTAATTTAAATTGCCTTCGCTCCTTTATTTTAACATAGGTACAACTGAATTTCCTGATAAAGGTTAAGTACTCCCAACAATCATACCGAAGGAGTTTTTTTTTTTCCTATAATATTCATAGAAGTGTTCAATTTTAATCCCGTAAGTCTTAATTTAATAAGTGCATATCTGATCTCAGAGTAACTGCCTCTGTATTTGCACAACTCACACTGGACGCCGCACACTGAACATCTGCCATGAAGACCGCATTACTTGGGAATTCCTAATTAAATGCATTATTAAAATCATTATTATTAAAATCACTATTATTAAAATCACCCACTGAGTAAAACAATTTTGAAAGCAAAAACTTAAAAAAAACCACTTTGTAAGCATATTCTCTATACTATAACAATTTATATTCAAATAAAATGCTAATTATAAGTAATCTTATAATCAGTAAAAACTATTATTGTTTGAAAGTACTGAACATGGTTTTTCATTATCTTATAATTTTTAGTAAGTTTTTAATTAACTTGACAATAACCTCTTTTTATATCTTTTAGAGTTGTGCCTCTCAATTTTTTTGCTCTAAGGACCCCTCCAGTAGGATGACCAGATATACTTTGAAAAGTCTTTGTTTACTGAGAATTATAAGTGCCTATATTTTCAGCATTGGACATTAACACTGAGAAAATTTCAAAAAATTTATTATATTGCTTAAAAATAATAAACTCAAAAAATAATAAATTCATTACATGCTAATATACATCATTTTAAAAATTTAAGCATGCCTATATTTTTCAAAAGTGGAAGGGCAGGGGCTGGGGATACAGCTTGTTGGTAGAGTGCTTGCCTCACATGCACAAGGCCCTGGGTTCATTCTATCTCCAGCACCACACACACACACACACAAAAAAAAAAAAAAAAAAAAAAACAGTGGAAGGGCAGCACTGTTTTACAATTTGCATTAGGCTCTTCAAGGACTGCAGTCATTTTTCTTTAATACTATATCAAAATTCTTGAAGGTTAGATGCAGTGTGGAATGTGAAGCCATTTTCTCAATCTCTGCTACACTAAAATCCACTGACCTATCCAGCACCATATCAAACCATGTTTCTCATCAGAGACTTTTAAAGTATTGGGAAGCTGTCAAGTTCTCTGAAGTGGATACGAATTTCCCAAAATTCTAATTTTCCTTTGTGAGCTTGAATTTGATCTTCAGCAACAAATAATGTCGGTTGTTTTCTGTGATGTGACAGGCTAGTCACAATCACTTTTAATGTGTTAAAATGATGTAATAAAATTCATAAAGGACACTCTTGGCTGGACTTGCTCTTGCTTTGAATGGTGCACACATTTTAGTTGTAGAGCTGATGCCTCTGTTTCTACTAAACTGCCAGCACTTTTACCCCATTGCTTTTTTTTTTTTGGGGGGGGGGGTGGTACTGGAGATTAAACCCAGGGGCAATTTACCACTGGAAACATCCACAGCCCTTTTTCATTTTGAGGCAGGGTCTCACTAGGGCCTCCCTGAGTTGCTGAGGCCGGGCTCCAACTTGCAATTCTCCTTGCCTCAGCCTCCCGAGTTGCTGGGATTACAGGGGTATGCCACTGTAATTGCTTTTGTACCTTTGTATCATCAGGGTGAATGTCGGCAGAGTGGAAAAGGCAAATCATGGCTTAGTATTCTAATAAAAACAATTTGACCTTGTAGATCCATTAAAAGGATACTGAGGAACAGTGAACCTGTGAAAACTGCTATATTATCATATCACTGATTTCCAACCACCACCGCAATCACTAGAAGCCAGTCACTGATTTAGAAAAGGAAAGTAACTGCTCCTGCCTTTTCAGGTTGTCCACATGAATTACCAATTCCATAAACACCTCTATCCAAGTTTCAATATAGACATACAAAAACTGAAATCCAGTTGTCATGGAAGGATAGACTAAACAAACTAAATTTAATATGCAAACTTCCCCCAAAGGCTTTAAAATGTGAATTCTTCTTTAAGTCATCCATTTGTTCCACATTTTCTGGGCATTTGCTTGGTGTTAGAAATAGTGTCTAAAGTTGACAATCTCTGTGGCCAGGGTCCACAAAGGCCTACGAAGCCAGGAACCAGAGCAGGGGCATGAAAGTTGGACAGATCTGATTTCAAGTGTCAGAGTCCCCACCTACAGGAAGCCTTTCCCCTGTCATCTCTGAGCTGCCTTTCTTAATTGGACACAAGGCAAATTCCACTTAAACTGTGAGGACTAGATGAAATGCATGTAAAGCATTTAATGCAGCTCCTAGCACACAGCAGGCATTCAATAAATGGAGGCTACGCTATGAATAAGGTCCCCGGGGGCAGTCAGAGTCCAGATGGGAGTGGGATGCACATCCAAATAATTATGACCCAGCATGGGAACTGATTAACTACAAAATGCAATGGGACTAAAAGAAAAATCAATGTTCTGCTTAAATGAGGACAGTGCTCTAACAAGGGAGGAGCTGGCTTGTTCGCAGAGGAAGGAATAGGAAAAAGCAAAGTGCACCCAGACATACACAAGGTGGGGTGCAGGACAGATAGGCAAAGGGGGTCAGGCAGAACCCAAAGACCACTCCCTGGAACCAAGTCATTTAGGGCCTTTAGTGACATGTAAAGGGGCACAGACATTTAAAATGACTTCCTTTTTATTTTTGTGAAGAATGAAGAATTATAAATGGCTACAATCAGTGCTAGCAGGTTATTTGGTCTCGTATATCTCTACCTATTCTGGTCCAAGCTTGACTAGTGCAAAAGGGACAGCAAAATTGCTCTCAGAGCCTGTGGAACACCAGCAAAGCTCCTGCAGTAAAGGGAATTCACCCAGGTCCTTTTGAAAGCATGAATAAAGTATTTACTGTGCAAAGCCAGTGTGTACCTTCTCTGATACAAGTTCTTGATACACATAACTTTATTTTCATCCCAGCTCCAGGTCATGGGCTCCAGTGAAATTTATAGGTCACTTAGCTTAATGGGGTGAGAAGAAACAGAAAGGCAACAGTGCTCCATGTTTTCCATTGTGACTCCAGCCATCTGTGAGTCACTGAGTGAGTAAGCTCAGAAGGCCAAAGAGGCCGCCCGGCTCTCACCCCTCACTAGAGACTGCAAATGCCTCCAGGCGAACCAAGTAGATGCCCGCAGGAGGACAGCCCTACAGAGGCGAGTCTGTGCTCCCCTGGCAATTCTGCAGAAGCAGACAGAGGCGCAGTCAGTGCGAGCCGATGGCCAACGGTGCCCTGCTGCACGCACACCCAAGATGCGACCATTTAGACACAAACCACAGAAATCACAGCAATGTCTTTACTCACCCAGAATTTTACGAGGAAGAAGGCATTTTGAGGGCCCTTTCCAAATAGTTCCTTTAAGCCACCTTTCTTTTCTGGAAATTTGTCATAAATCTGACGAATGTCCACGGATTCAAGCAATGGGTCACTGTAAGAATGGTTGGCATGCCCAATGTGCACGAAGAGGTGTTTGTTGTACTGTAAGAAACCAACAGAGACATTCCCATTACAAACCCTTGGATTAAGCAGGGGCTCACACGTCTTGAATTGGATAGTGAGGCAATCTTGAAATTCAGGCATGAGGCCTTGAATAGCCTATGTTCTGTGCCTTTGAAAAGATGAATATGTTAAGAAAAGCCAGCAGAGTTTAGGGTGAACACAGTCATTGGCTTTTATTGACAAGGTCATATTTCCTGAAGTGCCTAAAAAAGACTTTTTTTGCAGACATAGTAATGAACAACACCATAACTGCCAAACTACCAAAGCAAGGAATACTTCTACCATCCAGTTTTACTTGACTCAGCTGAAGATGACAGGGACACTTTTTGGAGCCCATTATTTACAATGTAAGCCCAACAAAAACATGTGTATGTAGTTAGATGATGTCATCACCCAGAATGCACTTCTGGCCTCAGGTCTCCGAGCAGTAGCGTGTAGGCTGTGATCTAAGCCATGGTACCTGGAGACTTCCTCCCTCTAGCAGGAGTAAGAGCACTGAGCCTCTTTGCCATCAGTCGCCTTAGTAACCCATCTGAAACTTCTGCATAAGGGTTGGTCAATACATGGTCATCAGTGTAAAGTCAGGGTCCCAAGAAGGCAGGATCTACTGTCTATATGGACAGTAGAAAAGAATATATGTCACTGACTTGTGCATAAACAAACAAAAAACTCAGACTCTGCTGTATCATTTAACATACAAAGGTCACCCTTTCTTCCCTTACTTTAGTTTAAGACATGATAGTTTACATATATTTCTTTGTGGTCAAGGTAACTGTTTTCAACCCAGGCCACATCCCAGTTCCCAAGGAGCACTTAAAAATCACCAATGCTGGCTGGGTGTGGTGGTAGGCATCTGTGATCCCAGGGACTGCAGAGGCTGAGGCAGGAGGGATCATAAGTTCAAGGTCAGCCTCAGCAACTTAGAAGACCCTGTCTCAAAATAAAAAAATAAATAAATAAAAAGGACTAGGATAAAGCTCATTGGTAGAAGAACCCTGGATTCAATCCCTGGTACAAAAAAATAAAAAAGAACATAGGGTCCAGACAGTCTACACAAGCACAAAACTTTGTTTTCATTGCCAATTAGCTGTGATAGCAGCAAGTTCCTCCCTAGTCTCTAAAATGGGGTCAGTGACGACCTCTCTCTCATTGGGTTGTTAGAGAGTTTAAAGAAATAAATAAATAAATAAATAAATAAATAAATAAATAAATAAAATATATATTATATAAAATAAAGTACTAATGTATTAAGAGTACCACCATAAAGAAACATTTTAAAACTGTGTATAACCTAAAGTTTCTCAAACTCAATTGGCCACAAAATCCTACAAGCACAGCCTAAGGAAGTGCTAACCTGCTAATCATCTCTGGCCATGATGCTAAAAGGCAGGAAGCCAGACATCTTATCTCAAGTCACTGTCCCACATATGGACAGTGTGATTGGGCTGGTATTTTCTAGGGGAGGGTCAAGCCCTCTCCTATCAACTCTAGAGTGTTCTATCAAAGCTTCCAAGACCTAAAAGATTCCAGGTAAATAAAGAAGAGAAAGCCTACCCAACTCTTACACAGACCCTCTACAGGGACTGGTTGCCTGGTGGCCTATGGGTAGATGAGAAGCTACAGACCACTTCCGGAAGAACAAAGTGAGCCTGCAGTGGAAGAAATTTAAAAAGTAGAAAGCCAAGGCTGTTGCATTAGGAGTGTGAGATCATGGGGATGCAGGTCTTTGTTGTACAGATTTTCTCAAATGTTGCCTCATCTTTTTAACCATAAGCAAACAAAACCTACAGAGGGGCTGGGGATATAGCTCAGTTGGTAGAGAGCTTACCGGGCATGCACAAGGCCCTGGGTTCAATCCCCAGCACACACACACACACACACACACACACACACACACACCTGTGGAAAGAATGAGGCACAATTACAGCTACTAAGGAGCTGTATGTAGTCTCATTAGTGAGCAAAAGGATTTAAAAACAAAAAACAGTCAATTCAGGGGCACAGACAGTGGTGCAAAGGCAATCAGAGATGAAATGATGAATGTGGAGTGTGTGCCCCAGGAGCTGACGGCAAAGGCGTTGTTCCTTCCTTATCCAGACACCCGGCTATCTGTGTATGCATCCAACTCTGGTTGATAATCTCTGCCTACACTAACTCCCAACCCTACCTGGTTCTGGGAGACACCACTTCCATCAGTTCTGCTGCCTCCTGTAGGGACAGTTCATGGGACAGAATGGAGCACAGCAGAGCCTGGGGACAGTGACTTGAATCTGATTCTCCACCTGAGCTCCACACTCCCAGCTCTCCTGCCCTGACAGTCACAGCAGGCTGAGTCAGGGATGGGGGCTGACATTAAAACAGCTTTAAAACTTGAAGTCTTCTTGCTCTGGACATTGAGATGTCTCTGTTTGGACTCAAAGACAACGGCGCAGGAGGTCAGGAAGGTAAATTATACCATACTTCAACGGGGGTCATGAAGGTGTAGCTGAAAACCAGGTGCTGAGAACAAAATAGAAAGCCCTGGAGCCAGCCTGATCTGAAATCTCAGTTCTCTCCCGTGTACAATGGGGATAAGATGCCTGTAAAACTCAAATAACACACAGAAGGGGCCTGGCGGAGGGCCTGGCAGACACAAAGTGTTCAATAAATAGGAGCTGCTAAGATTACTATCCTTATGGTTATTATCATGTGAGATTAACTAGATCCTGGGGTAGAAGCAAAAGAACTTTCCTGCCATTAGCTATCCCTCCTGCCTAGTGAAGAAAAATAAACACAAATAAGCCAAGAGCTAGAAGTAAGTACCGAAGCCCCGTGACAGTTCAAGTCCTTGATTATGGCCTCCCGTGACCTGGCTGGGGTGGGGCCTCTCACCTGTGCTACAGGACGGGGAGGCACCTGTGCCCACTGGCTGGCCAGAGCGGTATGCTCTTCGTGTGTGTGATCTCAGGTTATCCTCACCTCACATCAATGCTGTAGGTGGCTTTTATTAAAATCATTTTACAGATGAGGAAATATGAGCTTAGAGATTAACTGAGTTGCCTGAGGTCACACAGCCGGAAATAGTCCTGAAGTCAAGAATAAAACTTGGATCTGTAAACGCCCCAGCCCTTGCATTTGCTGCAAATATCAACCACACTGTCTGTCAGAAGAAACTGCCCGAGCCCTGCTAATTCTGCTCAATCAACATTTCCTGAAAGTTCATTTGAGAAGCAAGTGTCGGGGGAGCGGGGGACTGAATAGTGTTTCCAAAATTCTATGAAATTAAATTAGAACTCAGGATAAACATAATGATTCACAGATGCATCAGACAAGAGTCCTCAAAGCTCTCTATTTTGAGGACATTACCTCTGTGCCCAAGTGGCTGAAAGGAACTGAGAAGGGGCAGGATGTCTTTGCCAAAGGAAATCAGGCACTGCCTCTCCAAGGCTGGTGACTTGAAACCAAACCCTGACCACTGGCATCTGAGCGGCTTTACTCCTGCCAAGAGGTGACTTTGTTTCTAAGAATACAAAGGACTAAAGGTGTCCTGGAGACCACAACATTGAAACAAACAGAACTCACTTTCCCCTTAACTCAACCTGGGTACGGCAGGGATACTTTTGTCCCCAAATCCAGAGGGTTCAAAAAAAGCATCTACCTGATACACTGAGGTTTAAGTTTTTATGAAATTAAAATTCTAAAACGATTTGGTGAGGCTGTCACTAATCCCTATTCTGCCAGTTCTCTTTATGAGGGAAAAAGGCTAGATTTAGATTTTTCTTTTCTTTTGGGGGCGGGGTATGAAGGGTACTGGGGATTGAAACCAGGGATACTCTACAGCCCTTTTTATTTTGAGACAGGGTTTAAGTTGTGGAGGGCCTTACTAAATTGCTGAGGCTGGCCTCCAACTTTGATCCTCCTGCTTTAGCCTCCTAAGTCAAACAGGTGTGCACCACCACATCAAGTTAGGCTAGATCCTTCACTTGCTTCCTTCCATTCCTCCGAAATAAATGTCATTTTTTCCTCCATCTATAATACTTTTCCCCAAAACTATAGGTGGCACACAAAAGAGGGTTGGGCGATTACATAGGGCAGAAAACAAATACTCTCCTAAGAAAATTATCTGGGACAATATATGAGCAGAAATACATGTGTCAAAGCCCAAAATTAGATTTTCTTAATATCACAAACAGGTTACTTTGACTCATTTACTTTTAAAAAGTCTCAAAGGCACTCAATAGAGGCATAATTAGTCATCAATGTATCAAGAACAGCAACAGAAATGATACTCTCTCTGCACATTTTTTTTTTTTGGTACCAGGGATTGAACTCAGGGGCACCCGGCTACTGAGCAACATCCTCAGCCTTATTTTATCTCACTGAGTTACTTAGTGCCTTGCCATTGCTAAGGCTGGCATTGAATTCATGATCCTCCTTCCTCAACCTCCCCAGCAGCTGGGATTACAGGCATGCACTACTGCACCTGGCCTCTCTGCACATTTCTTTGATGGAGTTAAGTTTAGTAAAGCCACCAGCAGACCTATATCTATTATATGCCAGGCACTGTGTTGGCATATAATAGGAAATCCATGTCCTAATACCACAAGGTTCATCTTCAGACTCAACAAAGTGACCATATGGAACTTGCTCATTGCTTCCATAGTCAGAATGATATGGTGCCTATGAAAACCTGTGTTCTCACAGATTCCTACAGAGAAGATGCAGCAGACATTAAAGAAAGTCATCTCCACCTCTCCTGCAAATCACATAACGTAAATAGAATTTACTTGCTCTTTTTTATAAAAATGACCTTATTCTCCAGTACAGTGTTATTCGTTAAAAAGAACATATGCAGAATCCACCTAGAAAATGTGAATAAAGTTTTACAAGTCGAAGGTAAAAATCAAATTACCCATGACACAAGAGCAGGATCCATTGTTGGATGTATCAGGTTTCAGAAAAACTGACCTTCCTAGCATCTTTTCTCAGCAGCTAAAGAA